TATTTGTATTGTATTTATGTACTTACTTTATTTATTGTCTCATCTGTTGTTGCGTATTCTGTATTCTGGAATAATAAAGCTTTCCTTGAACCTTGAACATTTCATATGATTCCATGGATTGATTTCCATCAACTGACGACTGCACTTGCAATGGAGTTTCACTCATTTATTCAGGTCATGTCTTTGTTACCTGTCTGTATGAATCATCGTGTCGATGAAGGGAAAATTCTTGCCTGAAGGCTCTAAACAAAATTTAAAGGGTCACCAAATTTACAAGGAAACATGTTGATATAGTATGTTTTGACATCAATTTTCATGTGATATATCCAAAAAAAGACCTTATTTACATCTGCTATTAACATGAAATGTAGATTTGGATATCCTTTCTATGTTAATGCACGTTAATGATGGTGCAAGTGCTCAAATGCTGGATATCAGCCAGATGTAAAGCCAATTCAATTTTAAAAATATGCTCAAATCTGTTCTCTATCAGTTCTGTTTAAATGCACGTAAATATATGAGTGGAAGAAAATACCAACAAAGGCTTGTTTTGTTTTCTTTATAGGTTAAATATTACTTCAGCAAATACATAGTATTTCTTTACAAATATTGTAAGAAAATGAGAACACAGTTAACAGACTTCTTTCCATTTAATAAATATGATTATAAATGCATAAAACAATTACACACAGCACAGTTGAGGTCAAACAAAAACACTGTAACACCTTACCGTCTGTTCTTATACAAAAGCTGTACAGTAATAAAACTCTTTTTTTTCCCATTATTATTAATATTTCTCTACAAAAATAATAATCTTGCTAATTCTGCAGGGAGGAGACGGAGAGAAAGAGAGAGGGAGAGAGAGGGGAAGAAAGTATAGCTCAAAGCTAGTCTACAAATTGATAAGTGTTTCCCAAACCCGCGGGTGCTGTCACATATCAGCTCGTCCTAGCCAGGAGGCCAGAGATCCCAGGGCTTCCTGTCTGTTCGACCTGTCCTCCTCCCAGTGAAACTCAAAGGCAGAGGGGGGCTTTTATTGTGACGGACATCCTGATCTTTTCTGGCCAGAGTAATTTCCTGTTCCCTGGGGTTAAGGTTAGGATTAGTACTCTGCTGTTCCTGATCTGGGGTTACAGGCTACTGTACGTCTCCCTCAAGCTGTTAAAATCAGAGCCAGAAAAGCCTTTTCGAAATCTGAAATGTGAACTCAATCCTGCCAGTATACAACTTACCATCCTTACTTTGCAAAACTTTTTAAAAAATCCTTACATTTCCTTAAGCATAGAAAATCCAATTATTATTGTATTGCTACATTCCTAGACATTTTCATTGATGTTGCTGGTTGACAAAAATCCAACCATCACCCCTATACACCATGCAATGGAACAAGATAAATCACCTCATAGCTGAGTGCAAATTCTGTCCTGCAACCTCCGATAGAACACACACACAGCTACAATGGACGCTGAACTGTTACCAAAATCCTCTTAGCATGCAGCTTTGAAATATATACCACACCTCACCTAAAAAAAAAAAAATGTTAACCGCTATAACTGAGGGCAACCACTGACATATACAAGGATGGACGTTGTGTCTCCACTTCCTCCCACTGCCAACAAAAATGGAAGCCAAAATATCCCAGATATGACTACTGCCATCTTCCACTTTCTGATGCAGAGTCTGTGCAGTAGTGATCGAAGTTGGTGCCACGTAGTTGAAGTCCCACTCATATGTCCGGCCGACTCAATTTACAAGCAGGGCTCAGCTGTCCCACTTAAAAAAACATATCCGAAATGTTAACACTTGAACATACATCAGAGTGCGTGATTAGAACACTATATATAATTGCCATGAAACCATCTTGTGGAAAATGTATTTGATCCTGTAATTTTAATGATTTTAGGTTTTTGCCCATCTGCCTAACATGGATAAGCAGCCGGCGCTTCGCATGACCTATGGCAGCCAGCCCACCACCTTCACTTTTATGCGAGCTGTCATGTTCATTACATCTTTATAAAAGCTCGATGAGGGCATACGCACACCGGCGCGCATTCTTTGACCCATCATGCGCCCGTTTACACACACAACTCAAATACTGGGACATTATGACAGGACAGCAGTCATTTGTTGAGCCCTAATTCTCGGAAAAACGCCTGCGTGCCGTTGGTCACCATCCTTACACAAAGACTAAAAAGTCGCTCAGCGGCGGCCAACATTGAGCAGCCTTTAAGAAATGTCTGGCTAGATTCCACTTTTTCACACCAGAAGCACACCACGTTTACCTGACTGTTACTTTATTCACTGCAAAAACCCCACTTTAAAACACAAATGAGGAAAAGCTGATTCGTTCTAATGGTCAAAGGTTCCCAATTTTCTACAATTATAAACTTCATCAGAGTACTTGACTAAGAGAAAACAGTGCATGGCAACACATAGGCTACAAGGAATGAACTGCTTTGTCATGCCAACATTTTGAGAACAACCACCGTACACATTCCAGGACCTAAGTCTCTAACTTACGACTCAACATAAGGACAGGATGTGTCACTATCCTGATTTCATCTCTCTCCC